CGCCCCACCTTCCACTGCAGCGTAGTCCTCCATGCAGCTGCCCGCGCCCCCTTGCATAGTCTCAACCCTGGCCTGTCCCCAGGCCCTTGTCCAGGTGCCCATGGTCTGCTCTATTCTGTTGGCTCGCTCCCTTGCTCCCTTTCCAGGAAGCCTTCCCCAGATCCGTCACAGAGGAGCTGGGCATTTATAGGGAGAAGGCCGCCTCACTTTCCTTGCTCTGCCCAAGACCAGCTGCTCCCCTCACCCAGCAGGGCACATTCGAAGATAGCACAGGTCTCCTAAGAGGAGGGAGCTCAGAGAACTGGGAGCCCAGCAGGTGCTGCTGGAGCAATCTGCTCCCCAGAGGCCTGTCCCCACAGGCGTCCCAGGTCCCTGAGTGGAGACTGTGTGAAGTCCAGGGAGTCTAGTCCAGACCATTTCCTCCCCCGAGGAGCGGGTCTGGACAGCCCCAGCTCCTGGAGGGCTGTGAGGAAGCAGTGAGAAGATTTCCACACGGACCCTCTCAAGCCTGCGGCTCCCCCAGCTCTTCTGGGAGTTGGCCATGTCAGTTCTCACATCCACCACTCTGAGTGATGCCCTGGCCCCCTTCTGCCTCCCTCCTGTCAAAACGGGAGCAGCTCAGCGTGTTCGCGGTCAGTAACCAGGACCCTGAAGTGCCTGTGCCCAGGTAGGTCTGTTGTTTCCCATTCAGAGATGCACCGCAGATGTGCGGTGTGCTGGGAGGGTGCGAAGGTATGTGTGGTGTGAGTGTGTGTCTGTGTGTCTGTGTGTACTATGAGAATATGTGTGCTACGAGGGTGTATGTGCTATAAGGGTTTATGTGCTACACAGTGGGTGTATGTGCTGTGAGAGCATGTGTACTGTGTGTGTGCTGTGAGGGCGTGTGTGCTGTGTGTGTGTTGTGAGGTATGTGTGCTGTGTTGTGCTGTGAAGTGTATGTGCTGTATGTGTGCTGTGAGGTGTGTGCTGTGAGGTATGTGTGCTGTGTGTGTGTGCTGTGAGGAGTGTGTGTGCTATGAAGTATGTGTGTATTGTAAGGTGTGTGTGTGTGTGCTGTGGGGTATATGTGCTGTGAGGTTGTGTCTGCTGTGAGGGTGTGTGTGTACTGTGACGATGTATCTGTTGTGGTGCTCTGTGCGTATATGTGTGTGTGTGCTATGAGGGGGTAAGTAGGTGTGTACTATGAGGGTATATGTGTGTGTGTGTGTGTGTGTGTGTGTGTGTGTTGTTTAAAGAGAATCTCTCTTGACCACTTCCTCCCTATCAGCCACCCTTCTCCTGCTGTCCTCACTTAGTCTCTATGAGTGTGTGGAGATGTTGGGGTCCCACTTTCTGCCTCTTGTGCCCCTCAGACCACTTCTGCAGACCAAATCAAGTGTGCATTGCCTGTGAAACCAGGACACTGATGCCTCGCCCCTTCTCAGACCCTGCGAGGTGCCCGCCCCATGAAAGTTCTGAGTCCCATGACCCCAGCCCTGACATGTCCTAGAACCTTCTTCCTACTGAGCTGGTATGTAGCCTCATCCTCTTGGCTTCTCACCCAGGGCCTCACAAATGGAGCCAAAGCCATTCCTGACTGGTCAGCATGGGAATTCTTCCATTCTGGCTCCACAGACCAGATGCTAACAGTGTGCGGTGTGTCTGTGGACACAGAAGCAACGAGACCCAGCACTCAGGAGGCTGCTGTCAAAGCTGATTGGCTGCACAGTGGATGCTCCCGTAGCAAAAGGGCTCATTCGTTCATTCAATTCATTCATTCATTCAATAAATATTCGTTGAATCCATAATCCATTCAATGCTAAACGTTATGTCAAGGACTGTTACCTTCAGGCTAATGGCTGTGAAGCTTGCTAAAGACTAAACAGGATTCACAGGACACCTGACCCCAATGTCAGGCTTCCCCTGTTAAGATCTGTTTGGTCTCAGCACCCCAGCCCCATCCTTGGTCCAGACCTCAGACCACTGATGCCAGTCTGGGTGTTGAATGCAGCAAATGTTTGAGTACCAAGTGATTGAGTCTAGAGTCAAATCCCTGGGCTATACCCATCCAGTGCCCTTAGCCAAGTGATTTAACTTCCTAGAGCTTTCCTCAACCGGAAAATAGACCTGAGTAAGATTGCTCGTGTCACATTTCTGGGGAGGAAATAAGAGATAAGGCAGATGCTTGGAACAACGCCAGCACGTGGTGTCCCCTCAGCGACCATGAGTCATTTTTTAGGAGATGATTCCTTTCTGTATCACATGCCTCCCTCTGGCCTCGTTTGGACGTGGAGGGCTGAGGGGACAGCCTGGGTGAGGAAGTCCAGAATGCCAGTGAAGGTTTGCAGTGAAGGGACAGGAAGGGGCTGTTCCTGAGTGGCAGTGAGGCAAAGGGCAGGACCTGGGATGCTGAGCTCACAAGGCAGAAGCCGTCCTACCAGCACCTCGTTTCTTTGCTAAGGTTTTCTTTGTTGTTTGCTTTTGGGGACCCATACTTAGTGTGCGCAGGGCTTAGTCCTGGCTCTGACTCTGAGCTTAGGGATCACTCCGGGCAGGTACTGGGGATTTGAGGCAGGAGCCCTGCTGGCTATATTATCTCCTTCCCCCGGTCTTCCCCAGGCTTCCTTAAGTCACTGGAAACTCACAGGGATCCCACCCAACTGTCACTGAGGCCCAGACAGAAAAAAGCGAATGGGGCAAGAGAGATCGTCCAGGTGGTAGAGTTTAAGGAAGTGCAAGGCCTGAAGCTCAATCGAACTGCAATCCCCGAGCTCCACTGGTCAGCTCCACTGAACTGCTATGGGCTGAGCTCTGCCAGGAGCCACCCTGGCCCCCAAGCACTACCCAGTATAACCCCGACTTCAACAAAAGAAAAAATCAGACCAGTACATGAGGTCCATCTAGAACTGCAGGGCTGGGCTGGATTAAATTGGGCTGCATTGGTCTGGGATGATTTGGGTTGGGCTGGGCTGACTCAGTTGTGCTGGGCTGGGCTGGGCTGAGTTGGGCTGGCTGGGCTGCATTGGGCTGTGCTGGGCTGGCTACATCGGGTCTCCTAGTGCTGCTCAGGGACTCAGTTTCTCTTCTGTGGGTCCAGATCCTAGGGTGCTGTGGTCCTGAGATCTGTGAAGGGGTGAGGCATGAGTGTAAAGACTGGAGATGAAACAGAAGCAGAGCAGGGATTCTGGCCAGGCGGGGTGTCTGGGACAGGTCCCCCTCTCTGTGGTCCAAAGAAAGCCTCTGCTTTCAGGCTAAGCAGAGACCAGCGACTACTGCTGAGAGTGCATGAAAGTGCATAGCCTGGCTCAGTCCTGGGGGCGGGGACAGAGCAGCCATAGCCCCCTGAATGAATACTCTGAGCTGGGTCTGAGCCCTGGAAGACCCAAGTTCTGAGCCGCATTCCATAGGTTCTGTCTCCCATTGCTCATGGGGATCCCGTCTTGGCAAGCCACTCAGGCAGGGCTGTTGTGCTGGTCAAATCTTCCCAGCTCCCACAGGGAGAGGAGAACCATCAAAGAGCCTGGTGGACTGGAAACCTTAACTCCATTAAAAGGTGTGTCGGAGGCCCTGGGCCCTCTGTCTTATCCTTGCCCCATGTGAGGGGTAGGTGTCCAGCTGTAGTTCCCCCCCACCCTAGGTCAGTGGGGACAATGTGAAGCCGGGACCCAGGAGAGCACTAGACTACAGGTGGGACATTCCCCACCCCCTCAGCACTTCCTGCTCAGAAGCAGATGGCATTTGGTCTTACCATTTGCCTAGAGTTTTGTCACTCACCTGTGCTGTCAGCCACCACCTTGGTGACTCACAAGATAGCAGTGCCAGGCTTAGGTTCCACATCTTCTCTTGGGGTCAAGAGACACAGGCAATGAAATCTTGAACCTCAGTCATTTTGGGTGGAGGGGGGAACCCCGGTGATGCTCAGGGGTTACTCCTGGCTCTGCACTAAGGAATCACTTCTGGTGATGCTCGTGGGACCATAGGGGATCATGGGGATTGAATCTGGGTCAGTCACAAGCAAGGCAAATGTCCTACCCACTGAACTATCTCTCTGGCCTGACCTCAATCATTTTTGACCTCCCTGAATCTCCATCTTTTCACTGGAAAAAATGGGATGGGCTGGACATAGTGGCTGTCTCATAGGGTCTGGCAAAAATCAGTGGACTCACCTGTCAAACAGAGCTCAGTACGAGTATGGCAACTTGATGATGAACCTAAGCCATTATGTTTTTGTTGGTTGGTTTACACCTGGCGCTGTGCTCAGAGGTTAATCCTGGTGGGGCTTGATTACTACTTGGGGTGCCAAGGATCGAGCAGTGGACGGTTGTACACAAGGCAAGAGCCTTAATCCCTACACTATCTTTCCAGCTCACCATGTGGGTTCATAACCCAAGGAGATTCAGAAACTATTCTTGTGTTGACCACCCCCAAAAAAAACTGGGGCCTCAAGGTTATATCTTGTTTAATTTGGTTTCATGAGACATTTGGGAATGGAACGGGGGACTTAGTGTCCCAGGGCAGAGCAGCCGGGATAGAATCAGGTAGAAGGGGGCTGTCAGAATTATCTGGTGAGGGAGTTGGGGACCTCAGGCCCAGACTGTTCTCCCCAGAGAAAATCAAGTCTGAACATTAGACCAGAGTGTGTGTGCTTGTGTATGGTGGGGGAAATAAGGAATGCTTGAGGCTCTACTTGTCCTTGGGGTCAATCTGTCCCAGAGCCACCTTGCTCCCTCATAGCATCGTAACTGCACTCGAGTCTGTTTGCCTTTGGAAGGGGCTGTGGTGAGAGCCTATGTTGGCGCAGATGGCAAAGGGGTACAGCAGATCTGGCCCCGTCGAGTGAGGCCAGCCCAGACCCTCATTCCCAAGCTGCCCCCCACTGACCCTCAACAGGGCAGATGCCTCGTGTCCCCACACCCTTCAGGACCCCCCCCCCCCCAGGAGCTCCTGGCACCAAGTTTCTGAGCAGACAGGTGTTTGCTGTGGGTCCAACAGAAGTTTCAGGGCCAGGTAGAGGCAAATCCTTAGCATTTTAAAATTTTATTATGACTGTGTGTGCTTAAATATAGATATTTATAGCTCTATGTCCCACCCCGGCCCCACACGGCCTCTAGTTCTTGCCCCTGCCTTTTTGTCTGGAGGATGTGTAGGGGAGCACCGTCTGCGTGCTCTTGTCTGACACAGTCTGGGTGCTGCTATTCCGGGTCACCCGACGAGAATGCTCGGGGGCTGAGGTGGCGCCCGTGCGGTGGCCAGTCAGTGTAGAGCGCCTGGGCTTGCAGGGAACCGCCGAGACCTTGAGGGTGCCAGCACGGTCCTCCTGGTGGGGAGGCTCTGGGGACAGGCCAGCCTCCTCCTCCTCTGCCTCACCAGCATCACCATCTGCCTCCTCGTCATCACAGCACAGAGCATGGTAGAGCACTTTGTCACTAAAGCGCACCCTCTCCCGTGTGCCCGGGGTCCGCTGGGGCAGCTGGTCCTTGGGAGGGCCAGCACTGAAGGCCTCCTCGCTGGAGGAGTCGGGGGTCTCCACGCGTGGCCCATTGGGCACGGGCAGGCCCCCGTTCATGAGGCGGTAGTCGGGACCCGTGCCTGGCCGCGTGGACTCAGGCCCATCCACGGAGTCTGAGGGCGTGGAGACGTCCAGGAAGGAGCAAAACTCCCAGCTATCTGAGAGGATGTCAGCCGTCACGAAGTCCAGGGGCGCCAGGTCGAAGGGGCCACCCACGCCTGCCTTGTCGCTACTGGACGTGCTGCTGACCGTGGCTGTGGTCCAGTCATCTGGCTCGAGCTCGAAGTCGAAGTCAGAGGTTAGCTTGTCGATCTGGGTCACCACCTGGGGAGGGGCAGTGAGAGGAGTGAGGGGCCAGTGGGGACCTGGCATGGCCCAGGGGCTCTCCATGTGACCCTCTTACAGTGTTCCCTCTGCTGAGGGCCCTGCAGGAGTCCTTGGGCCCGGGGGACAGGTTTATTTGCATTGCAGAGGAAGCAGAAGGGACCAGCTTGGGCAAGGTTCCTTCCTGTCCGTCCACACACCCTATCCACCCACATGCTCCTCTCCCCCAGACCCAGTCAGTGTTTGGGGGGCAGTTCTGGTGCTCAGTGCTGGGTCCTCCTGTGATGGCGGCAGGCATTCAAAAAGGCCAGCAGCACTCCGCCCTTGGGAAGATAAAAGTGACCAGGAGGAAGATGGCTGGGCTCTCTCAAGTGCCCTGGCCTAGTCCTGGGGTTAGATCAGCATGCTTTCCACCAACCATCATGAGCTCCCTCCTTTCTCCCCTTCTCTGGCCCTGGCTTGCCAGAAAGGAAGGCAGCAGCCTATAGGGTACAGTGAAGCCCTCACAGAGGCCCCCTTACCTCCCCTGGGGTCCAAGGAACAACTGGCCTTCAAGAAGAGCTGGGGAGGTTATACCTTCTTCCAGACCCATTCTCAAGTCTGCCTGTGCATCTGTACCTGGACCTCTGCTCTGTGCACTGCCCAGCCCACGAGAAAGGCCTTGTGAGTGGAACCCACAGACAGCGAGAACAGCTAGAGGTCAGGCTTCTCCCAGGCATGAACCATGGCCCAGAGCTGCAGGTGATGGGGCTGAGATCCCCACCTGCACCGCTGTACACCCTTGGGGGGTGGGGGTGGGGTTACTGCTGTGAGTTTGAGCAGGCCATGGGGACCAGCCCTGGAGCTGGAGGTCAAGCTGCAAGTGTACAAACCTTCTCCGAACTTCTAACTTAGTTCCATGGGGCCCAGGGAAGGGGTTTCTCTCCCACACTTCCTGTGGGAAGTGTGGGTCCCCGGACCTCTGGCCTCAGACCCACCTTCCCTGATGCCAAAGAGCTACTGCGGCTGCTGCCACAGGATGGGTGCACAGCAAGAAGAACCTGCATCTGACACAGTGAGCCCAGAGGCCAGGCCAGGCCCAGAAGCTGGACTCCAGATGCCCCACGAGGAAGACCCAGGTGCGGAGAGAATGGACCTTAAGAACTTCAGACCGGGCTTACACGCTTACTAGCTCTTGCCTATATGCTCACAGGCCCCACTAACAGCCCCTCCCCTCCTCCAGCAGAACCCCTCTGCTTCTGGCCTGAATGCCAGTCTCACGGGGACATCTGACAAGGTCTTCATCTCCTCCAGATGGATGATGCTCTTCCCCTCACCGAGTGGACAGGAACTGGACAGACATGAACATGCACTTTCAAATGACAGAGCCAAGTGTAACCAAGCACTTCGTAACCAAGCACCCTGGAGCTACCTCGGGGCCACAACCCTGGCCTCTCCACGTGCTCTATGACCTTAGTCAAGTCGCTCAACTTCTCTGTGCTCAAGTTTCTTCCCCACAAGGAGAATTATTCTAGAGGAATGGGCTATTGTGACGCCTTCGGGACTTAAGGTAGGCCAAGCACATGGGACACTACAGACCACTAAGGTCCACTATTGCAGCACATGTGACCAGGTGTGTGCCAGGCGCCTGGCACCAGAACCAAGAGCTGAAGGAATGACACTCCACTGGGGACATTTTCCAGTGCTGCTGGGAAGATCACAAGTCACGCTGGGTTTCCTTAGGCTCAGCACATGTGTGGCACTTAGGTCCCTTAAAAGTATGGCAGAAGAAGAGAAGCAGAAGTGATTCCAACAGTCAAACAGGAGGGCGGGAGGAACCGGGACACTAGTGGGTATGGGTCACACTGATTCAGTGACAAGAATCAGAAAGGGAAGGATGTGCCACGGGCACCCGGACTGTCTGCAAGGCCGAGACCAGTCCACAAAGCCAGGTGCCTTATTTCCCGTGAAGGTGGGGAGGGAAGGTATGGGGCAGACCCCAGGCCACCTGCCTCTCTGCTTTTGAAACTTCAAAATCTGTGATTTCTCTCTGAGGTACAATAATCTTTTTGTCAACGTGTGACTTGGGACTGTCTTGGAGTGCAGGGACATAATTTTACACACAGAGGAAAGAGAGGGAGAGAGAATGGAGAAAGGGAACTGTCAAACACAAAATCACAGAATCAGAGGCTTGACATCAGAAAGGACTTGAGACCCTGCTGAGTCCCCTCTCATGTGCTTGCTGACGGGGAAACTGAGGCCCAGAGATGGGAAGGAGTGCAACTGACACCAGAAGTGAGAAGTCCTGGCACTTGAAAACAGATTGACCAGTCCAAGCAGAGCATGAGACAGGGCAGGGCTGAGGTCTGTGGGTAAGCCTGATGAGGGTCCCAGGTCCTTCCTGGTCAGGGCCTTACCTCCCCCACTCTCGCCTAAACAATTAAACCCACGGAGACTAGGAAGCCTCTTAGTCTCCAGCATTGCCCTGCTCCCTAAACTTCAGAGACTCCCCAATGCAGCCCCACCCCTGATCTGGCCTCTGTCTCAAGCCTGCAGCACCTCCCCCACCAGGCCCCACCGTCTCACCGTCAAGTCCAGACCCTGCTCACTCTTATCTCTCAGCCTCCCTGCCTTCCCAGTGGTCCATCTAGGGCTGAGGGCAGGGGTCCCCGCAAAGCCTCTGAGCCACAGGACTGCTTCCCTTTCCACACACTGACACTTGTCAGCCCACTAGACTGGTCGTGCCCCGTCTGGGCAGGGGACACAGCCCCGCTGTAGTGCAGGGCTTCCCTGCAGACTCCAGGGTCCTGGAAACCCCAGCCTGGCTGCCTGCCCCTCCCTCCAGTCCCGGGGACAGACCCCTCTCTAAAGAAAGCACAGCCCATTCCTTTAGATCCTGCACCCAAGACTGAGCGCTAGGAGCCCAGAACCTGCCTTTACCTCCCTTACCTATCCCTGGCCCCTTCACCTCTCCAGACAAGTCATTACCTCCTTCCCTCCCTTCCTCCCAGCGCCCCGGGCAGCTGCTTACATAACTGGGGATTCTGCATTATTCATGGCCACTGATTATTTTTTAATTCTATGATTATGTTATTTTATTTATTGCCTTCCTGGGGGGCTGTGAAGTTGGGGGCGGGTAGGAGTGGACTGTGATTCATGACTCTCATCCTGCAATTTGGCTTAATTGGCCATGGAGCTTGGAGAGTCCACCCAGAGGAGGAGAATGCGGAGGGGAAAAAGGGCACCGGGGGTGGGAGGTGGCTGGGGCCTGGGGAGGAAGAATCTGCCCGGTTCTTGCTGAGCTGCAGGTGATGGCGCTGACCCACTTCGGCGCGCGGCTCCACACTCCCCAGGCGCCCCCTGCTTCCTGGCCCCAGCTCATTCCTCTCCTGTCCGCACGGCTCTGCGCTGCCCGGGCCACCTTGCCCTTGGGAAGGCTCAACTGGGCAGCACCCTCACGCCTGCTCCCCAGGAAAATCGAGTGATGGACCCTCAGAGGTGCCCCAGATTGTGGAAGGGTTGTGTCCACCACTCCATTCTCCTGGGGTGTGGGGGCCAAGGGGGCAACTGTACCCTAGGTAGCCCCCTGTCCCAGAGAAGCTGAGCAGACGGGGGACAGCAATTAGGAGTATTCTTGAGCCTCAGTGAGACTGGGCAACATGTTGAAGAGGGGAGCCCGGGGCCGGGGTCTGAGCCCTGCAGAAGGTAGGCATAGCATCGGGGTTTGAGCCCTGCAGAAGGTAGGCATAGCATCAGGGGTGGGGCAAGGAAAGGCCCCTCATTTTCCCCGGGGGCTCTGGTGGGGGAAAGAGGGAGCTGCGGGGGGCATATTTCCCACCCAGAGATTCCTGGAGAGTGTGACAAGTCCCGCGTTCTAGATCTGTTCTAGCCTTGACTTTTATCCAGGGGTTCCCCTAGGCTCCCCTGCACCCCAGTTGCATTGGGGCGCAGCCATCCCGAGCTCACCTGCCCACCTCCTACGTAGATCCTGTGCTCTGGCCAGTCCCGCGGCCCTCTGCACTCCCCAGATCTGACTGTGCCCTCACCCAGCTGAGTCTGGGTTCACAGTTCATCCTAGTGCAAACCCCTATCCCTTCCCCATCACTGCCTCTCTCTGTCCTCTGTCCTGCTGGGAGTGGGGACAAAACTGACTGCAGCGCCAAACCGCTCGAAAGGGTTGAGGCCCAGAAGGCCTCCAAAGAACCAGGCTGAGGGCAACAGGAGCTGAGGGCCAGTGTAGGTATCTCATGACTCCCAGTGGAGACAGAGTTCACTGGATGCCCACCTGCCCCTATGCTAAAGTATTCTGCACGAGCACCCTGGGGCTGGGCAGTGCGTGGGTGAGGGGAGAGTGTGTGTGTGGAAAATCCAGTGTGTGCTTCCCATCTGCTCTCCCTTTGCAGCTGGGAAAAAGAGCAGCACAGAGAAGTAAGGTGACTTTGCTAAGGTCACACAGCAGAACGACGCCATGCTCTAAGCACCCAGGTTCTGCAGCATCTCCATATTACAAGGCGCAGAAGGTTGAGGGGCACTCAGAGAGCCTGCAAGGACTCGTCTGGTAGTCCTGGAGTATCAGGGGCCTGGGAGAGGACGGCTGATGAATCGCCACGTCCTTCTGCAGCACTTTCACTCTTCGGTTCCTCAGCCTCCTCGCTTCCATCAAACCCCTCCCCCTACTACACAGCCCCCTGCAGTGGGGCAGAGCCAGGGCCGGTCTTGGGGGATGGGCAGGTTCCTGCAGGAGAAACTGCAGCATACTCTAGGGGCCCAGTGTGTGTTGTCCCTCCCTCCGTCAAAGCCTGCCAAGTCCTTTCATCCCCTTCCCATTCCATTTGTTTGTCTGTTTTGGGGCCACACCTAGTGGTAATCCGGGGTTACTCCTGGCTCTGCACTCAGGGATCGCGCCTAGAGGTGCTCAGGGGATCGAACCCAGGCTGGCTGTGTACAAAGCAAAGTATCCTATCACTCCCCCTGTAAGTCCCTTTTAAGGGCACTCTGGAGGACCTCTTAGCAGCATGCCTGTTTCATAGGTGAGTAGACTGAGGCACAGGCTCTCATCGTTCTGCTTGAGGACCAGAGGGTTGGGGGGCAGGGGTTGCTGTCGGGGAAGGGGACGGCAGAAGGGGGTACCACTGTGCTCCTCTCTGCCGTCTTTACTCTTCTGTAAGTAGCTTAAGGCTTCCCCTGCCCCCCACCCTGTGGGCACCTGTCTTCACATCTGGGCACTCTGTTTCCTCCAAAGGAATCCAAGTGGGTGCTGCTTGGGGAGCAGGGTGTGATGAGGGGAGTTGGGACTGGGCACCATCCTAAAGGAAGGCTGCACAGAGCCACAGACAAAGAGAACCCAGCACCTGGCTTTCCCACTCTCTCCAGGAAGTGGGCGCCAGGCGTCAGGGCTTCTCCGACCCACTGCCCCAGAGTAGACCCTACAACCGCTACTCTGTTCTAGGCGAACCCCAGGCTATGTGCAAACTCTCCTGCCTGGCCTCCTGGAGCCTCTCTTGCCTGCTCCAACACTCTGCCCATCACCCCAGGTCCAGACCCTGCTGGGCTGGGGAGTGGGGGAGCTGGGAGGCCTGCCCCCTCCCAGCTGGGTGCCATTGGCAGCGGGCAGGTGGCACCATACGGGGTAGACTCTGGTTGCCGTAGCAACCTGCTAAAGTCTCCGGTGGAGGCACATGGAGTGTGTGGGGTGGGACTCAGTTTTCTCTGTCCTGGCTGAGACCTCAGGTGCAAGCCGCGAGCCCCCGAGAAGAGAGGTGAGGGGCTTTGGGGGGCATGGGATGAAGAGCGGGGGTGCTGAGAAGCAGAAGGAGGAGGAGAGGGATTTCGGTAAGATCGGTGGAGAAGCCAGATGCCTTTGATCATGAGCTCTAGAGGATTCTGCCAAAATGCAGAGGTCACTCACGTGTGGCCCACCTGGAATGGAGATTCAGGCTGAGTTCTGCACCTGGTAGGCTGAATGACTGGACAAGCCTCTGTCTGTCTGTCTGTCTGTGTTTGTCTGTCTATCCTGGGGTTTGGTTTCTTCAGCTGTATGCTGACAGGGTGGGTCTGGATTACCTGGGGAATGCTTCCTAGCTCTGAATGGAGAGGTGGTGGGTAGGGGGGCCAGGGCCCACAACCCAGAAGATGCTCCCCTGGGAGGTGGTTCTGGACTGGAGCAGCATGAACTCCAAACTGAAGAGTAACTCTTAGCTCTTTTCAGCAGGTCTGCAAAGGTAAAGTACCGGGCCTCTGGCCCAGCCTGAGCCTATGGAGAGTTTGCTGTGATTCGCCCTGAATCACAGCAAATTTGAAATAAGGTGGGAGGGGCGCATGGTTTCCTTAGGACCTGGGTGGCCAGGGGTATTGGGGCCGCTCTGGGCACCTGGCCATGAACCTCCAAACTGCATTCTCCAAAGAAGTCCGGCCCAGATCCTGGCCCAGTAGGGGCACCACCACTCCACCTGGAGTGACAACAGTGCCATCAGGAGTCCCCTTGAGAACACAGCTCCCGCCAAACACCCTGCTTCTTGGCTCTCAGGCAAGGCAGCCCCTCTGCAATGAGCACTCCCATCATTCCCTGCCACAGGCGCGGAAGAGCTGGAGCCCATCACTCGGCTCAATCACCTCCCCGAGGTCCCAGCAGGGGCCCTGCCGACAAGAAGCTGAAATGTGCCTCTGGCCTACCTGGCTGGTGTAACTGCACCCAGAGGACAAATTCAGGCCAGCGGCTCAGAACCACCGGTCATGCACTGTGGGCGCCAACACAGCCCTAGGGGCAGGCCTGGGGCATGCGTCCCTCACATGTCCCACGGCATGGAAAACTTGGAGAGCTGAAGAGAGACACTCACCCGAGGGTCTCCAGGTGACTTTCCAGCCTCACAACCCAACACGAAGCATGGGGGGGGGGAGGGGGGGTGCACAGTCACATGCCTGCAGGTGACCATCCTCAGGCCCTGCACACAGGGACACTGACCCACATCCTCAGGGCCCAGGCCCATTCCCACCTCAGGGGTGTGAGAATACAGATGGCTTCAGTTCTTCCAGGAACTGGGGTTCCTGCCCAGCTGCAGAATCTCGGTGGTGATCTGAGCAGGGGGCAACTACTTCCCAGGAGTCACGCCCCCTCCCCCCTTCCTGGGGCTCAGAATGATCAGATCTGATTCCAGGAGGTGGGATGGGGATCAAAGGTCAGACAGGTCCCTGGGGATTCGGGGTTTGTTTCCAGGGGGAGAGACCACAGCCGGGTTCGGTCCTACTATCCTTGCCGGCAGCTCTGAGTGCTAATGACGTACCAGGCACCAACCCCATGAGGCCTGCAGGCTCTGCAGTCCTGGGACAGGGGCTCAGGTCTCTGGCCAAGCAGACTTGGGGACAGGAGAGCAGGAAGAAGGGGCCCCATCCCAACATGCATCTCTACCGGCACTAGGGTGTGGAGGTGAGTCCAGGTGCCACACCCGGTCCAGGAAGCTGGTGCTGGGGTCCCCTGGCCCCTCACTCACCTCCCGGAGCTCCTTGGCCACCTCCTTGAGCTCCCGCAGAATGCCCTCGAGCTGCCCGATGACCATCTTCATGCGCTGCCGGATCCGCTCCCGTTCGCTGCCGCCGCCACCACCACCACCACTGCTGGGGTCGTTACTGGGCTGCCCGAGGTCCGGGGTGCCCCGAATGTTCATCATTTACCACGTGGCCGCAGGCCTGCCCATACTGGCTCCCGCCGGGCACTTGCTGTGTCTGCCTCCACGGAGCCCCCCTCAGCTGGGCAGCGCTCCACATCTTAACGGCCCCCCAGCCCACCCTGGCCCTGGGTGGCCCTCACCCAGCCCTTTGTCCTGGGCCACCTCGCCTCCTCTGCCACCGGGTGGGCAGTGAGACACCCAGTTGAAGGCCGAGTCTGGCAGAGGGGGGGTCAAGGAGAGGACACAGGCGGGCAGGGGGAGGGGTGTCCAGGGCTCAAAGTGCCCTGGGGTGCGAGCTCTGGTCACCCAGAGGCAGGGGAGGTCTCCGCGGGGGTCTATGGGGAAGAGATGCCCTTGGGGAGGGGCGCGGGAGGCAGCCAGCCCCTCACAACTCCGGGGCAGTTGCCAAGGCAGAGGTCCCGGGCTGCATCTGACACCTGCGAGTGAGGGGCGGCCAGGGTCTTCCAGCTGTGCGGGAGCTCGGGCTCTGGTGGCTCCAGGCAGGGCGCGGGACTGGCGGAGGGCAGCCCCCTGCAGAGAGAGCCAAGAACCTGGCGTCAGGCCTCGTCGGCTGCAGCAGCACCGGCAGCCCGCTCTGCCGCCTCTCCCGGCCCGCAACCTTCCGTGCGGGAGGCTTATGGATTGTTTCTTTGCGGGGAGGGCTGGTGGGGCAGGGGTTCGGTCAGCCCCTCCTATGGAGGGAAGAGGGTGCCCCCTACTTTAGAGACTCAAGTGCTCGGCCGTGATGGGGCACCCTGCTCGCTTCTCCCCAAGCTCCTTCCTCCCGGCGGGCAGCCCCGAGGCCTCCCGGGGCCTCTGGCCTCCCTCTGCGGGGCGTTCCCAGTGGACGCCCCCTGGCCCAGCCCCGCCTGATAGCAGAAGCCCCGCTCCGCTCCCGGACCGGACCGGACTCACCGAGGCTGGGGACACCGGCCTTCCTTCCGAGACGCGTCGGGGTGGGGGGGCCAAGCCCCAAGACGATGTTGGGGGGCCCCCAAGGCTCCCTAGGGCGGGCTTCTCTCTCTGGACCCATCGGCCACTGGCCTGGGGGAGGTCCTCAGAGCCGCCACGGGGGACATCTGGGCGGTGGGAGGGGGCGGGGCCTCCGCGCTCCCCAGAAGGGGGCCAGAAAAAGCACCCCCCAGCCCCGCCAGGCCTCCGGGTGGGGAAGGAGCGAGGGTCCGGCGGGCTCGGGGCGCCCAGGCCACAGGTGATCGGGGCTCAGGGCGACGGGGGCGACGCCGGGCCAGTCCCAGCGCGAGAGCCAAAGTCGCGGGGCTGGGAGGGCGCCGGGGCCCCCCCGAGTCCACGCCCGGCGTCCCCCGGGCCGGGCCCCGTCAGGGATGGGCTCCGTCCAGTCCGGTTCGGCCGTCTCTGCCGCGCGCTGCCCTGCTCGGCCCGGAGCGAGCCGGCCTCTCCGGGCGCCCGGGACGCGCTCGAGCCGCGACCCACAACGTCCGCGCTCCGGCTCCCGCGGCGTCCGGAGCGGCCGCGCGGCTCGGGGCGCGCTCGGGGCGCGCTCGGGGAGGTCGGGCGGCCGCGGGGCCCGGGGGGAGGGGCGGCGTCGGCCGCCGGACCCCGCGAGCGCGAGGCCGGGGGCTGGGAGCGGCGGCGGGAGCGCGGGGACGCGGCGAGCGAGGGGCCGCGCGGGCAGCGGGACGCGGGCCGGGCCGGCCGGGGAGCTCCGGGCTCGCAGCCCCCGCGCGCCGCCCGCCGCCGGCCTCGCCGCCCTCGCGGGGTGCCGGGGCGCCGCCGGTGGGGCCCGCCGGCAGCGGGTCGGGGCTGGGCCTCCTCGCCGCCCTGCCCGGCCGTGCCCTGCCCTGCCCTGCCCTGCCCGGCCCTGCCCTGCCCCGCCGCCCCGCGCCCCGCCGCCCCCGGCCCACCCGCCGCCCCGCGCCCGACTGGCCGCCCGGGCGGCCGCTGCCTCGCTCCAAGGCCGCCCGGCGCGCTCGGCTCCGCTCGCCTCGGCGCTGGCGGCGGAGGGGCCGGCCCGGCGCGCCGGGGGGAGCTTTTAAAGCGACACACACGCCGCCCCGCGCCCCGCGCCCCGCGCCAGCCGGGGGGTCGCGCTCCCCGGGGCGCGGGGACCCGTCCCGAGCGGGCGTGGCACGAGGCGCCGCGGCTCGGCCCGATCCCGGACGGGCGGCGAGCTGGGCCCTTTCCTCAATTCCTCCCCGCCTTTCCCGGACCTTTGCCCTGGGTCCCCTCCCCCCACTGCGGGGCGCCCCCACCTTCCCCTTCTGCTAAGTTTCTCGCACCCACACCCTCCCCGAGCCTCGGACCCTACCTCCGACGCCCACGGACTCCCTCCCCCGCAATCAGATCCGCTTGGAGAGCACGACAGCCTCGATGGAGCGCCAGGCGGATGCCAGGCTCCGGGTCGGCGGGGTGGGGTGCGGGGGCTCCGCAGACGACAGGTACGCGGTCGTGCCCCCTCGTTCCGCTCAGGCATTCCCTCGTTTACTCGACCCTGGTTGCTGCGCCTCCTGGACCTCTCCCACCCGGTGCTGGATGATGCTGGAGTGGCAGAAAGGAAAGGCAGCCTTTTAGGAAGTTCACATCTCTTGGGGGTGGGGGACGGTGTGATTCGTGCCAGAGTAAACTCTGCGTGTGGGTGCGGGTGGCCAATGCAGGGGAAAGGAAAGTTCTAGGAGCAGCGATCAGGGAGGGAGGACGGTAGGAGCCCCTCCAGGCCAGGGCCTCGCAGGCTGTCCTGGAACCGCAGCAGGAGAGGTGGGGGATACCTGAGAGAGGAGAGCGCTTTCAGCCCGCTGGTACTTTAGAGGTACCTTGGACAGCTCCCGGGGACCGGCTTAGAGCAGCATGTTTTCAAAAGGGGCCATAGGGCACCCTATGGACCCCCAGGACGGTAGAGTGGTGCAGGTGAAAATTATGTCCATGGGGGGCATGGCGTGAGAGGAGGAGAATAACCGGTAGGGTGGAAGGGGGCGTTTTGGTCACAGTCGGAAAACGGTTGAGAAACACCAGCTGAGAGCAAGGCCAGACTTGTCTCAACACCAGTGAGAGCTCCTGGTGATGGGCAAGGCAGAACGTGATGTCAGCCAGGAACTCACGGGCCCTTCTGGGGCATGTTGGTGCAGGGTCACAGGACCACCGGGAGGATGCTAGAGAGTGGAGAGACGAGGGGCCTGAGAGGCCACAGACACCGGAAGGAAGGGCTTTAGGAGACCCTGACACCTTTTAGAACTTGGCTTGACTTTAAGAGGGAGAAAGAAGCCCAGCCACCCCTGACTCTCACATGTGAGGCTGGATGGACGGCTGTGTGAGAGCAGAGCTGGAGAGGAAGGGGGGAAAGCAGGTCCCGGTGAAGGAAGGCGCCAGTTTGGTAGTGCTGGGGCTCTAGAGGAGACAGCTGAGGATCTTGTCTCAGCAATGGAAGTGGGTCTCCTGCTAGAATACAGATTAGAGTCAGGGTTGGGGTAAAGGGTAGATTTAGAGCTCACTTTACGCCCAGGAGTAGGGCAAGGGTTAGGGTTAGGCCATGGTAGAAGCTGAGAAATAAAATTAGGATAAGGATCAATGTTAGGTTTAGTTTAATTGGTAGGGGTAGGTCAAGGCTAGAATAACAGTTATCACGAATTTGGGAGTGTATTTAGGGTTCAGTTTAGGGTTAGGATTTGGCTTAGAGTGAGATTAAAATCAGAGTAGACAGTAAGAATTAAAGTTAAGATGATAATGAATGTTAGACTTCATGTGAATGGTAGACTGAGGGCAGGGATACAGTTAAGTCTAGGATTCTTGATAGAATTAGGAATTGAGTTAGGGTTCAGGTTGTAATTTGAAGTGGGTTGGGGCTGGGGCTCAGGTTAGTTAAGCTTCGCTTAGGATATTTATTTTTGACTTTTGACATTTTACAATAACAACGATAGTGTTAGTGTAAGACCTAGCCATGGTATAAGTTGAGAATAAACATTAGGGTGAGGATGAATTTAAGTATTATAATTGGTAGGGTGAAGACAAGACTAGAGTAGAGATGAGAACTCTGGATATAATTGGGGTTAGAGTTAGAGATGGTTAGGGTTAGAGTTAGGGTGAAGTTTAGTTTTAGAATCAGGTTAAAGCTCTTAATTTGACCTGATCTAAATTTACAGTAAAACCAACATTCACACTCACAGTAATATTTATTCTCAACTACTAACTACTATGGGGCTGGCGCGATAGTACAGCGGGTATGGCATTTGTCTTGCACGCAACTGACCCCGGGTTCGATTCCCAGCATCCCATATGGTTCTCTGAGCACCGCCAGGAGTAATTCCTGAGTGCAAAGCCAGGAGTAACTCCTATGCATCGCCAAGTGTGACTCAAAAAAGAAAAACAAAAACCAAAAAACTACTACCATGGTTTACTCTTCAACCTAACCCTAATCTAAACTTTGACCTAACTCTAATTCTATCAAGAGACATAAAACTTACTCTAGCCCTCATTTTAACTTTCATTTTAAACCTCAACTAGGGACTAAAGAGATAATGAGGTAGGTAAGGTTCTTGTCTTGCATGCAACCAATCTGAATTTGATTTCTGACATCTCCCACTAGGAGTGACCCCTGAGTACAACGAGGTGTAACCCCAAAACCAAAACCAGACAAAATAAACTAATCTCGACTACTGCCTAAATATTACCCTAAACCTACATCTAGCCCTTGCTCTAATTCTAACCCTAATTCTATTATGACTCTAATCTTTACTCTAGCCTTGGCCTAACCCTAGCAATTACATAAATAAAATTTTCATTTTTATTTGAAATCTAATCCTCAAATTCTACTATGGCCTAACCCTAATCAAAACCCAATCCCAAGCCTTCACCCTAATCCTAATCCTAACCCTACTTCTATCAAGAATCCTCAACTTTACTGTAACCCCCCATTGGTCTAACCCTACTAATTACCAGAACACTAATATTCATTCTCACCTTGTGAGGGCAAAACTGATGCCATGACAAGTTGCGGCAATATTAAGTCTCAACTAGGCCTCAGTTTCTGTTTCCTCAAAACAAGACTTGCAGTTTCTGGTAGACTCCCAGTTGAGTAATTTGCCTAGTTAAGGAATTGGGCAGTTGGGTCTGGCCAGTCGTGAGGGGTCATTGTGCCCTCCTTAGAAACTGTTACTAACCATTGCCTAATTGCTGACCACCATTGTAGTAGGGCCAATGCTAAAAATAGACCAGTATGTAAATCGCTTTTTAACTCTGAGCCCTACATAAACTGCTTGTGATTTGGAGTTGGGGTCCTTGTCAAGACCCCACTGTGTTGAATGAGACTTGGACGCTAGCT